GGAATTGAAATAAAGGTATTCAGTTTTCAATCAAGAAAGAGCTTAGGAGAGTTAGGGTGATCTCTTGAACAAATCACCCCCTAGTTCGCCACCATAGGGTCTGCGCACAAAGGGAGGGGCAAGGGAAAGCTAGGAGTTTTCCCCGTGGACCAACCCGTGACAAGATCCTACGCCCGAGCCCATTACATTTTGGTATCAGAGCCAAACGTCATGGGCGACATGGAGCAATTATCATCCAGGGTCCACGAATTAGAGCACCAACTCGTGGAGAACCACGCGGAAGTAAGAGAAGTCAAGGAAGATGTCAAGGAGCTTCGGCGCCTACTCGAGTTGTACTTCTCCACCAGGGAGAAGCTCTGAAGGGGCGACCACCAACAACAGCCGTCGGCCAGAACTGGTGGAGGGCTCCGGCAAACGACAGAACGCCACCCCAACAGCAGCGGTCATACCCAAGTACAGTCGATTGGAGTTTCCCTCATACAGCGGCAGCGGCGATCCACTAGGATGGCTATACCGCTGCGAGCAATTCTTCTGTAATCAGCGCACGGAGGAGAAGGATAAAGTCAGCCTAGCCGCATTCCATCTGACAGACGAAGCACAGCTCTGGTTCTACCGAGTGGAGCAGGAAGAACCAGGACTTAGTTGGGATCCGTTCAAGTCATACTGCCTCCTTCAGTTCGGACCCCCATTAACAAGCAACCCATTGGGGGAATTAATTAAACTCAAGCAGACTGGGACCGTAGCCGAGTACCAGCGGCAATTTCAAACCCTTCTCGCCAGAGCCTCTTCAATACGCCCAGATCAGTAGGTGGATATGTTCACCGCTAGACTAGCCGAACCTCTGAGAGTCGATGTAGAGATGCAGAGCCCTCCCAACCTGGTCACTGCAATGAACTTAGTTTGTGCTTTCGAGTGCAAGCTACAGATCAGCCGAGGGTAGTTCAACATGGGGCGTTCAACGACTTCTTGGGCAAACCCGAAATCAACTGGAGGAGGGTCTTCGTTGGCAGCCAGCAGGGAACAACGACTTCACACAGGTAACACTTCCAGATCTGCAACCAGCATAGGAAGCAACATAACGACACCTCCCATCAAACGCTTATCTAGAGCTGAGATGGCGGAACGTCGAGCAAAAGGTCAATGCTTCAACTGCGACGAGTTGTACTCAGCCAGGCACCGTTGCAAGCGGTTATTCTGCCTCCTGGTAGATGAACTAGAGGAAGAAGAGGAGGAGCATACAACACTGGAACCTGAGATCTCCCTCCACGCCATCACCGGATTACAGTACTCCCAAACCATGCAGTTGCAGGCACAAGTGACAGGGAAACCTGTGCGTATTCTGGTGGACTCAGGAAGCACACATAATTTTGTCAGCAAGCAAGCAGCCCTCCAACTGAAACTGCCGGTGGAAGGCAGACCGCAACTTCAAGTGGCCGTAGCAAATGGGGAGAGAGTTCATAGCCCTGGGATCTGCCGGAATATCC